GCGATCGCAGGTTGTGCCCTTGCCATCACAGGTATGCCTTTGCGATCGCAGGTTGGATCGCAGGTTGCCTTCGAGGTTTTGTCGACCTAGAAAATTCATCAGATAAGGAAAAAAAGAAACTTGCGATCGCAGGTTGTGGCTTTACGATCGCAGGTTGGTCAATTTGCGTCGAAATAGCAACGTACTTCATTAAAAAATCTCGTGACGCATTTTTGGGTGATACATGCGATCGCAGGTACGACGTTTTGACAGCTAGACGTATAAATACAGCCTGATACTCTTCCAGTAACCCTAATTGGCGATTCCTGGCGATTCAGATGCGATTTTCAGAGGTTTTCAAGTGAAGAACGCAGATCTAAAGGAGACGATTCGATTCCAATTCATAGTTTAGTAAGATTTATCGTTTAGATTCTATTACCACTGTTTGTAATCCGTTTTTAGCCATGTCAGGCTAAAAACTCAGATTTCAGTTTCGCAAAACGTAACCTTTTCGTATGATTAATCATTAGGCACTATGTTTGACTATGATTACCGTTTAGTGTGATCAATTATGTGTTAAATAGAATGTTTGATTTTGATTTCAGTTTCTGTTGGCCACATAAATTGTTTGTGAATCATTCTAGTCATCTAATTGTTTAGATCCGTAATTGTCTAAATTAATTAGTAAAAAGTGACAAGTATTAGATTAATTCTAAGTTTAGGGTTAACTCTGATATGAAATGATCAAACAAGTTTTAACGCCTCCTAGCTTATGAGAGGTATTGTACTTTACTGGGAATTACACTGTGTCTAATGCAACTTTTCTTTATTAGTCAAGATCTTGTTTGGTTAGTTTAGTAAAAAGTTAGATTTAACTCAAAGAACTTATTTTGATTAAATGATTTTTGTAACAAAGGTTATTAGAGCTTGTTAATGAACCTTAGTACCAGTTTAAACAAGTGCATAGTCAAATATTGTGTTGAAGGTTAATTATATGATTAGAGGAGTCACCGCGAAACTGGAATTGCTTTCTCTTATTTAAATTTTCACCACTTTAAATTTAGTTATTCTTTTGTCATTTTCGATTTCTATTAGTTTAATTTTCAGAAATAAACCCCCCCTTTTTTTATGTTTATTGCATTCATCAAGAATTAGATCACACCTTACGCAAAGAGGTGTAAACATTAGGACGTGTCCCTGAGGATCCGAACCTGCTTACCTGTACTACCTGTTAGTGCAATAAAGCAGTTTATTTATTATTTTTATTTGTTTAAATCGTGTACGACATCGGTTATAACAATCCTTACTTCTTCTTTAAGCTCCTTTCTTCTTTTCTCACTAAAACAACACCAAAAGCACTCTCAAATGGCTTCTAGAACACAAAGGCACACAAAGGGAGCTAGGTTTTTCGTGGTGGCTGGGTAGGAGTGAAGGGAGGCTGAACAAACAAGAGTTATGCTCTTTATATAGGGAGTAAACCCTAAATTTTAAGGTTTAATGAGCTGCATGTGTACGTGGGGCGTACTCCTGGTACGCTGGGCGTACGCACCTGGCCTCCGCGGTTCATTCACACGAGTACGCTGGGCGTACATGGCTGTGTACGCCCCGCGTACGTCGCTTCCTCAGCCCACTAATAAGGCCCAAAGGTCAAAGCTCAAACTAAACCATTCCATTCTTCAATTTTAAAATGTTTAATAATACCAGGAAAATCCCGGATGCTACACCCTATTCAATAAAGAAAAACCCAATTATAACACCAACCTAAAAAATTATAATCATCGCATGCCCTGAAATTAGTGTAAAGAAAAAAGATAAAACACACACACACACACAACTACCTGTGATAATTATACACACCAAAAAAACTCACACGCATATTATAATTATCAAATGTTAATATATATACTAAATAAATTAAATTAAGAATATTATAATACCTATATAACAATTTATAAAATTTGATTCTAACCCAAAACATGTCAGAATGCAAAATGGTTCATCACTGACGCATTTTTATCCGATTTAAATGAATTCGTTTATCGGATCATATAATTGAAAATTAGATTCCACTTGTTTCATCTTGGTCCAGTTAGCATATACAAAACATACGTCTTTTCAAACATTGAAGAAACGTAGCATTCAGAGAATATGACACTGAAACTTCATGTGTTGATCAAACAAAATTGAAGGATCAGTGTCTAAATAGGGGTAAGAAAGTAGTTACCTGCCATCTACATTCATCCCTTTCAAATAATCTCAAAAAAGGTAATTACACCACTTGTCCCACGAATGACACCAGATTGTTTTGGTCAAAAATCGATAAAATATTTTTGTTACCAAATTAGTAAGTGTAGTGTGATGTTTTAGGTAAGGATTTTAAGAAAGTAAATTATAAATTCTAAGTTGATGAAGATCTTGAAATATGCCTAAGATCTTGGATGTGCCCAAGATCTTGGGAATAATATAGTAAGATGAAATTTTGCAAGGTAATCGTAATTGTTTGGTTTATTCCATACTGTAAATATGCATGTACTTAAAAGGAAAAAAGTAGTATTTAAGTTGTAAATTAGTTGATTAAAGTGATAAATCATAAGATATTCAAAAAGGGGTTAAGATACCACATGATATCAGAGAGTATCTTAAGGTTGTGATTGTGCAAACAGTCATGTGTAACAAAACAAGTGATTAAGTGAATGTATGTACTTAACGTTGTGATTGTGCAAACAGTCATGTGTTACAAAACAAGTGATTAAGTGAATGTATGTGAGTATTGAAATTAATCAGATAACAGCATATAAGTAAAATCTATGCAAGAGCACAAAGATATACAAGGAAAATCCTTAACCCTTTATGATATCTAGCATAAAACCTTCAGAGGTGATAGCGTCATACTGCCTTAGAACTTTTATTAAAGAAGAATAGAATTAAAGGTGCTAGTTGATCATGTATTGATTATTCATGTGCTTAAGAGTGTTCAAAGAGAAAGTAAGAGTGAGAAGGTCCATCCGTGTTGTGATCAACTTGTCTTTATATACAAAGATCTTATAACTAACTCTCCTAAAATATTGAGATATTCGTTGATTCTTGGTTGACCTTTATTCTTGTTTGACCACATGCCCTTTGACTTGGTTTATACTCTTTTAGATAAGTCTTCGTTCATGCATTCAGAAAGATAAGAAATACAACGAGAGTCCCAATATATTTGGTATGTTCAAGATTTTGGGCTACCCAAGATATTATTGTAAGTACAAGATATTAGTAACAATGAATAAAGTTAAAATTCTACTCATAATAATCCTCACGCCATAACGACACAATTTCAATCAAACCTCCCCCTCCCCCCCCCTCCCCCACAGACACACACACACAAACACACACTCGGAGCTAGCCGGAAAAGCAAAGTCAGATACCGAGTCGACGTGTCGCCGGTATAATTAGGGTTTTTTATAAAAAATATATTTAAAAACATTACTTTTTGGTGTCTAACGTCCAAAATTAATGAAACTCCTCAACAGAGCCTAACATGTCATGTATAGTAATATCATGATTCCAAGATGGTAAGATTATAGTTTTTAAGAGAATTAATTTTGCAATTTGAAAAGAATTAAAGATGGCAACTTATTGTTCTTTTTTTTTTTCATTTAGATGTAAAATGTTCAATTGATTTTGTTTAAACTATGTGAATTTTGCGTATGATTGATTTTGTGTTTAAAAGCCACTTAATAGAAAAAGAATAAAGGCTCGTCGTTCAATTGAAAATCAGATAAAATGAGGAAAATAAAATGTAAACAATAATGGAACGAGTTTTTGCCTAAAAACATTAACATAGATTTTTTTTCTCAATAATCCCATGTAAATGTAATATACTTTTCTAGAATTTCACCAAACCAACCAAATAAATCTGTTTATATAATTTTAATATAATGTATAAATTTAATAATCTTATTTATGTAATTTTAGGTATTGGGTTAATCACAAAAAGATCTTATATATTAAGTGGGTTTTCTCCGAAAGTTAATTTTTTTCCCTGAAAAACCCTTAAAATTTTCATTTTTTGGATTAAACCTCAACTTTATATCTTTTTTTTTCCTGAAAAAAACCCGTACATCTTTGTTATCTTAGAATATATCTTGCATCCGGTTCCATAATTCCATAATAGATGTTTCGAGCTTCACATGGTTTCGAGTAAATCTAGAGTGGTGGTCTTGTAAAAATTTAATCCAAGATGCACAATCATCATTAGTTTAATTAAGTGTTATCTACAATGAGTTTTTTATATTGGTTATGGTGAAAGAATGGTAAAATTTGTTCCTATTGTTTTTTTTTCCATTAGGGGGTCATACGATTCTATAATGAAAGATGAGGAAGACAGAAGAGAATATTGATAACTTTTGTTGGTAAGAAGAGGAAGAGATGAGAGGTTGTTCTTCGTCCATTATCGAACCATGTGGCTTCTGATGAGAATAACTCTTGAGACGATTGTTATACGTCTTGAGTTGAACTTTTCTAGATACATGCACCTACAACATTGGTGAATGCCACCGGGAAGAAAATTTTATGCAAACAGTAAACAATAGAGTTACAACACAATCTTTCTGGATTTAATCCAAACCATTATGAAGCTGTGCACATCTGCCTTAAATTATAGAACCGAATGCAAGAAAATTTTCAAGATAACAAAACTGTAATGATGTTTTAGAAAAATAAAAATAAAGTTGAAGTTTAATCCGAAATATTAAAAATTATAGGGCTAAATCGAGAAAAAAATGAAAATTTAAGGGTTAATCAAATAAATAAAAAATTGTAAAGGTTAAATCATCAAAAAAAATTAAGGAAAAAAATAAAGTTTGAAACTTAATTCAGCAAACTCCTATTTCCATATGCAACTTGAGTTGAATCATTTTAAAAGGAAAGACACCTCTAATCGAAATATCTTCTTTGGTTTATGAAAAAATTCACAATAATTTTGACTTCAAAAAAGTCAAAAGCAGCCCATTTGGTGCCTTATCGGATAAGATAACGAAATCTTTAACCACCATTCCCAAATTGTTCTACAACGACACTTTCCCTCCATTTCCTTCCCAATTCGCCATCACATCACCACCGCCATTGCAGCCATAATCCGATATCCATGGCTGCCGGAGTTCAAGAGAAAGACCTAGACACAGTGCGGAGGAGAGTTGCATCGGTCAGCAACCACCTCCTTCCTCCCCCACCTCATTCGATTTCCCCAATTATAAGTTCCTCTAATTGCAGCGCTTCCATGAACGATAGCTATCATCGGATTCATGGTGAAGTTCCAAGCCATATACCTGTTTGGAAAATTTCGTCAGATGAGTCTGGGAAGGAATTCACTGACATTATTTACGAGAAAGCTGAAGGAGAAGCCATTGCCAAGGTTAGTAATTTATCATGTACGTAATACCTCGTAGTTTGTGGATAACACTTTACCTACTGTGACATGTGCATTCACATATCAATCTCCAATTAGATAACTTTTTCAATCTATCAAATTTTCCCATTTGTATTTCAGATAACAATAAACAGACCTGAGAGGAGAAACGCATTTCGACCACATACAGTTAAGGAACTAATTCGTGCTTTCAATGATGCAAGAGATGATAGTAACATAGGAGTCATCATTCTCACTGGAAAGGTAACTACTAACACTGTATTATGTCAAAAGTTTTGACCTTTGAAGAAGCCTATTTCCTCTGATTTTAAATCATAATCACATTACATTAATGGTTAAGTCTTGTTCAACAATTGATTGTTGCAGGGAACCAAGGCTTTTTGTAGCGGCGGTGATCAGGCACTTAGAAGTCAAGACGGTTATGCTGATTTTGAAAATTTTGGCCGACTTAACGTTCTTGATTTACAAGTAAATTTTTCATAAACATTTTTTTTTTTTTTAAATTACCCGATTTTTATTTGGTTGCAGATATATCCTCTAAAAATAAATATATTTTTTTTTCATAAAGTTATTTGGGGTTTAATGTGATTTTGTTATGTTTTATCTTTATCTTTGGAAACAAAAAGTTCGATTTATTATTATTAAATAATGTTTAAAGTGAATTCAAAGTTTTTTCCTTTATTTATAAAAGGGAAATATGCATAAAAGTCTTATTATTTTGGAAAAAAGAAGTGATTCGTACACAACAATTTTTCTGCATACACAACAGTTTATACTTTATGAAGTTGTACAATACAATGCTTTAATGCACAAATTGTTGTGTATGGAAAAAAAAATTGTTGTGTACGAATCAGGTTCTAAAAGTTTTTTAAGTGAAAAGTCTCAATTATTTAATTTTACAAAATAATCTATCATTTTCTATTAAAATAAAAATAAGGATTTTTTTTTCTAAATTTAGGCAAAATATTAAAGAATCGAGACTTTTCTATTAAAAAAAAGAATTAGAACTCTATAAAAAAAGTTTCCCAAAATAATGTGACTTTTTTTTGCATATTTCCCTTTATAAAACTATATTAAATTCCTATGTAAATTAATTCCATTCCTATGGTCTAACCAAAAATGATCTTGGAATATAATGACCATTCCATCACCTTGCTTATTTTTTTTTATTATCTTCTCTACAAATTAATAGACGATCTTGTGTTTTCAAGATTCTTTTTCTCTTATTGAAGGGTATTTTGGGTATCTGATAAATAATCAAACTCTTTCCTTAAACTTTTGTCTACTCAACCTATGCGATTTCATGAGACAAAGGGAGTACATAACTATGTATTCTTGTTCTCTTGCCATATAACTTGATTCAAACAACCAAAGTTGATTTGATGAGTGTACTCTAATCCCATTATAGGTGCAAATTCGGCGTCTTCCAAAGCCAGTTATAGCAATGGTAATTTTCATTGTTTCTAATTCTAATTAACCTCAATATTTTATTCACTCACATTTTAGTAGTGAAATTCTTTGTTTCTTCCAACAAGGTTGCAGGATATGCTGTTGGTGGAGGGCATGTGTTGCATATGGTTTGTGATCTAACAATCGCTGCAGATAATGCTATTTTTGGTCAAACAGGTCCAAAGGTAATTGGTCAACAAACAATACAACAAATTGTTGTCTTTTCATATCTTACTATACTTGACTAAATTACAAAAATGAAATTGGATTTCTATTCGGATGACATTGCTATAATCGAGTATTTTTCAAAATACAATGTTGTAATAGCAAGAAATGACAATAAGATGCTACAAAAAGAAACAAATTAATTGAAGCACATTGCTGTTTGTTGCATTTAACCCTATTTACAATAAAATTTATCTGAATACCAAAAATACAATTCAATTAAGAACATAAACTAAAGATTCTTGAAGTTCTTCTAAACCTTACTCTGTGTCTTTCAAGTTTGATGCTATGACATAATTTATGTAAGAAATAATTAGTAGTAACAACTTATGATTTTGGGGTGTGACATATCACATTGAAGTTATTTTTAAATATTATTAGTCAATTAATACCACATTGTTTGTGTTTGGTTTGTGAATCTATAAGGTGGGAAGCTTTGATGCTGGTTATGGGAGTTCGATAATGTCACGATTGGTAAAAGCTTTAATCTAAAACAAAAAGAAATTCGAAAACCAAATTAGATTTTTTTTTTAAGTTGATTTGTCTTTTGTAACACGATTTATTTTCGTTAAACAGGTAGGCCCTAAAAAAGCTCGTGAAATGTGGTTTTTGGCACGATTCTACACTGCTCAAGAAGCAGAAAAGATGGGATTGATCAACATTGTAGTCCCTGTAAGTTCAATTTTCAGGCAAATAATCATGAATTCAATAAAGAGAAAATTTCACTTCTATAATTAGGTAATTTACCAAAATATAATGTTCTAGTAAGAAAATTATTGAAAGTGTAATGCTATAACTTGGTAGAGTTTTCAAAGTACAATGCCTTAATACGAAAAAAAAAGTTGAAAATACAATGTTATAATAGAAAAAAATGAGAGCAGGATGTTATCATTCACAAGTAAATAAAAATATGTTGCTATTTCTTTGCAGTTAGACCTTAATTATACATAAAAATGTTAATCGCTAAAATGACCAAAATGGGTGGGATCCTATCATAAACCGACTTCCTTTTGAACAAATATCACAAAATGGACTTTTTGCAAAAAAGAAATCGCAAAATATTTTTAATAGTTTTTGTAGTGGGGAGCGTTCATTAAAGAAATTTCACAAAGTCCATTGTGTGATATTTCTTCAAAAGATTGTCATTTTATCATAGAAGTCCACCCATTTTAGTGATTAGCCCTTTATAATATTAAAGAACTTTTACCCATTTTGCTACATTTATATAATTAATATAGTTCTTTTACTAATGAGAAGCTTTAAATCCTATTGTAGCTAGAAAAGCTAGAAGAGGAAACAGTTAAATGGTGTAGGGAGATCATAAGAAACAGCCCAACTGCCATTCGGGTGCTAAAATCTTCCTTAAATGCAGTCGATGATGGCCATGCTGGACTCCAGGTAGTCATACTCCATATTCATTATATTTTTATTTATTTATTTTAAATAAATTGTTCATTTAATTTGCATTCAGGAAATTGGAGGAAATGCGACACTAATTTTCTATGGAACTGAAGAAGGTAACGAGGGAAAGACGGCATACATGGAACGTAGGCCTCCAAACTTTTCAAAGTTTCCTCGACGACCTTAACTTCATTGAGTTTTCTTGAATAATAATTAGTGTATTTATATTGTTGTATCAATTAATATTATTTTGCAAGAAATTGTAACTATAATCATTGCTCATTGAATGCGCATTAATTTTCTATAAGGGTTAAATGTAATAAATAGCAATGTTCTTTCATTTCTTTGTTTGTTACAACTTCCTACCATCATATCTTCATGTTACAATATTGTACTTTGCAAAATTACCAAATAGCAAAATGTCATCCAAATACGAAACAAAATTAATGTTATAAATGGGTAATTTTTTTAAAGTATAATACCTAATACGGAAACAAAAAAGCATAATGATATAAATGGGCAGATTTTTCAGAGTCATTGGTTTAATAAGAAAAAAAATGAAAATAAAATGTTGTGTTAGAAAGAAATGAAAGTATGATGCTATAATATACTACACAATAAATGAAAGTGTTGTAGCGCCCGCAGATTCGGGCTAGTCAATTTATAGACAATAAGCGTCAAAAATGACATTTTAATAGAATATTATTTAGAATAAATAATCATAACCAAGTTATAGTATATGTCACAATGGTTCCGTACATATAAAGAACGTCGGAATTCGAGTTATAACGAAGAAGTTATGACCTGTCGAAGTTTTACGGCAAAACCGACACGGTACTGGAAATCGTAAAAAGTGATTTTTTGATAAACTACTTTTTAGCCTTAGAGATCTAAATGAAAGTTGTAGTATACGTTAAATCGAGAACATACATAAAAAGAACGCCCAAATCTGACTTAGTATGAAGAATTTATGATTTTTCTAAGATTTGGCATAGCAGTGCACAACCTGAAATTCGAATTTTAGATCGACCGATTTTTAGCCGACACAACCTAAACGTGAATCGAAGATCTCGTTATTAGGAGCTCAATGATAAAAAGACAAATGAAAACGGACGTCAGATGACAAAGTTATGAATTTTTAACGGACTTTAACTGTTCAGGCCTGTTAAAAATATAACTTTAAAAATAAATTCAAAATTAGCCGACAGAGTCTAAACGGACGTTGTAGAGTATGGTCCTGCCTACGCGTGGATATAAAAAACGTCAAAAACGGAGCTCGTATGCAAAAGTTACGGATTTTAGAAGATAATTAGTTTTTAGAGTAACCAGCGAGTGACACGTGGTGCAATCTGAGCCGCACCTTCTTCCCCACGGCTTTGCATGAGATCGCGACACGTGGCACATTACGCCCGACGTAATTTTGAGTACGCTTAGCGTAACTCTTAAAAACCCATTACGCTCAGCGTAATTCTTGAGTACGCTCAACGTACTCGGCGCTGGCAGCCTATAAATAGAGGCGTTTTTCCTCATTTTTCTTCACACCTTTTCTCAACTTCTCTCTCAAATACCCCCAAAGCCTAAAGGCTTTTCTCTAGCCCTTCTTAGGAGTTAGTAGCGAGTTCCGGAGCGCCAGAAGGCCCCAAGGAGAAGAACTTTCGGCTCAGAAGTTCTGCCCACGCAGAGCTTGGTTCTTCGCTAAACTCCAATATAAGTTTCGTCGAAGGAAAATAGAATTATTAGAAGCGAAGCGCTGCCCGAGTTTGGAATCATCACTTTGACAAGTGAGTGCATAGTTAATTTCAACTTACACATAGATATGAATTATTTTATATAAATTATGTGTTATGTGTGCATATTATCTGTATACTTGCTATCTATCCTGGATGAACGATTTTATACATGTTTTAAATTATTTAAACTGTATATGTATTTTATATCTACAAAATATGTTGGGAAAAGCATGGGTAGATGAATGATGAGGGATGAAAGCTGATATAGAGGAACATTGGCAGTATGGACATAGTGCCCTATTGGTGAACATTGGCAGCAATGGACCTAGCACCCTATAGATGAGCATTGGCAGCTGCGCCACAACCTGTAGATGTTTTTGATCTACGATGTACTCTAAACATCCTAGCAGTTGCGCTCTAAGGATAGTATCGGCAGTTGCGCCTAATAGAGAACATCATAACCCTGGTAGCTGCGCATAATAGAGAATGTCACAATTCTGGCAGCTGCGCCTAAATGATATTATTGGCAGTTGTGCTTAATAGATAATATTGACAGCTGTGTCATTGGAAACGATGGACTTCGTGCCTACTCCTTAGGACAATCCTTAGGACTGAATGAGTGAATGATAAATGATTCTTAGGGTAGATCCTTAAGAAATAAAGAAGATAATGGGGATGGGTAATTGGGTTGATTGTTTAATGATTAAACATAATTATATTATTGTGGGTTGAAAACCCTTTGTACTCACCAGCTTTACCAACCTGACCCACTCAAGTTTATTTGTATCACAGGTGTCGATATGAAGCTACATTACACTGAGAGATTAAGGAAATGTAGATCATTAATGTAAATGAATGTAAGGTCTGTTTATGCTTATGTTTCTGTATTGACGATGACATCCCAATGTTTGAAAAGGAATAAAATACATTTCTTCAGAAATGCTTTGATAATTTGTTTATCATGTTTTTCTGGGAACAAATCCCGCAACATTTTCTTTAAAAGAATACTCTGATTTTCAAAATAAAGCATAAACAAATCGGTCTTTTCTGGCCGTGAAAATGGGGATGTCATAGTTGGTATCAGAGCATTAGTTTAAGCGAACTAGGAATAATGATTTATTTCTAGACTTAAACTTAGAATGCTAAGCGATGATCGTGAGGAATGTGTCTAATATATTTAGGGAAGTACACCTGAATAGACACGAGCACTAGCTCACTTAGGGAAGATGCCTAAATTGCTTATATGTGCTAAATGATTTGCAATGCTTTATGATGCAATCATTTGATCGTATCTATGATTTGTTGTCGACCGGATCTGGAAACTTTATATGTTCAAATTTCTAAATGTTTAATTATTGTATTAGAACTGGCATGTAACTTTTCGGAGTTATAAAGAGATTTACACGTCGATCGTAAATAAAATCTTTCATATCTTAATTCTCGTCACTACACCGAACGTTTAAATTGGTGTATAGATCGACATGGTAAGAGCTCGAAGCGGATTAGGAAATGCTAATGGAAACCATTGGCCTGAGCCACAAGTGATTGAGCTTGCACCAAAGATAGCAGCTGCACCCGAGCCAATCACAATAGCAGGAGTCCAGGCAATGATTCGGGCTATGATGGCCGAACAAAGGGAGGAGATGAGGAAAATGTTGCTTAATAGGGATGAACCTACAATGCTTGTTGAACAGCCCGAATTGAATGATGGGAAGTCGGAGGAAGGGAGCTACAGTAGAACCGTTGGTCCAGATGAACCGTCAGTGGTTAGGAGAAATAACCAAGACGAAGGAATTGAAAGAAACGGATGCAAGTACAAAGACTTCACGACTTGCAAAACATCAACTTTTACAGGGAAAGAGGATCCAATCAGAGTTATGGACTGGATCTCGGAGATGGAGTTGGCTTTCATAACATGTGGATGCAAAGGCAAGCTACAAACCACATATGCAGTGCGTCAGTTCAGGGGTGGCGCTGTTCGGTGGTGGAACACTTTGGGAAAGATCATGAGCCCCAATGAGCCACAAGAACTGACTTGGGCAGAGTTCCTGGTGCATTTCAAACGAAAGTTCTGCTCGGCCCAGAATCTGCTAGAGCTAGAGAATCAATTCCTAACATTGAAGAAGGGCAGCATGTCTATTGACGAATACACCAATGCCTTCACCGACAAGATGGAATTTTCTTTGTGCATTGTCCCTAACGAACTAACAAAAGTCGATAAGTATACAAAGGGACTACCGTGGGAATATGTTGTGCCAGTATGCCAGGCACCTACTCTTGAGGCGGCTATCTGGGCTGCTAAGTATGTTGAAGAGATGATCAAGAGTAGAGCCGCCAACAAGGTCGAAGTTGGCGAAAAGAGAAAGTTTGAAGGATCTTCAAGGTCCAACGAGAAGAGAAAATTTTTGAAGTCTGGAGGAGGAGGAAATGAAGCAAGATGGTGCGAGAAGTGCAAAAAGAAACACTCTGGAAAATGCGGTGAGGAAGTGACTTGTTTCAAGTGTGGAAAGCATGGGCATTACGCCAACGAGTGTACATTCAACAAAAGGGTGTGTTACGAATGTAATGAGGAAGGGCACTTCAAGCAAGACTGTCCAAAGAGAGAAGTGGCTACAAAGCCAAATGTGCCGCCAAAGCCGAAAGCAAGAGCATTCCATATGATCCTTGATGAGGCAGCTAACAATGCAAGGAATCAGGAGTGAGGACTTGATATCCAAAGATCAAGTTATGCAGTAGCCATGTGGATAGTATCATATGGTGTAGCCTATCAAAGGCATAGTCTAGGGTGAACTTAAACACCTATGTAATCGTTTCAAGGAATAATATAAAACCTTCTTTTTGTTATCTGGTGTGTTAAGTTGTTATGTGATTTTCTTGTATGGTGAATTGGAAAACTGCGAGACAATACTTGGGACGAGTATGAGTAGGTGTGAATGGTAGTAGAGGCCTATACTATCAGAAGCACATGACTCACGCTTGGATCTGGGAAAGTCACAAGGTTACCAAGAAGCTAGTAATTGATTCCATTTTGTTCAAGTATGTCGTTACCATCGTTTCGGTAATGACTAAGAAGAAGATTGTTATTCCGACCAACTGGTCATATCAAATTGAGTCCGACTAATATGAGTATGTTACATGGTTCAGAGAACCAAGTTCGATGTAGCATCTGACCTAATCCAGAAGATTGAAGTGAAAGATAATCAAAGCCATCAATAGAAGTTCCGCGATCGTTGTTAAAGTAAGAAGCTTGTAGCTAGAAGTGTTGCATGCTAGAATATGATTATCTCACATTAGAACATGAAGGAAGGTATACTCCTTTCTCGAATTTGACTCTAAGAGACCTGAGTCTAAGCATTGCATCATACGATGAGAGGTCATTAGAACACAGCCCATCGGTCTATTACGATAATCGAAGTAAAATCTGTTTACGAAGGATCATGAGTTTCCAGTAAGGATCAAGATTGTAACTCGAAGGTTACAATTGAAATTCTAACACAGTATGAAGAGCGGGTGCAAGATTGAGCACCGCCAGTAGTCAAGAAGTCAAAGAGTTAAAGACTCATTTGGAAGGACATAAGAGTTACGATTATTACCTAGG